ACGAGCAGAAAACATAGGCAGTAAACTCTCTGACATTGCTCTTACCAATATTTTTTTTGGATATGTCTCCTTGGGCAAGGGAAACAAAAGAAAAACTGAACAAATAGGACTTCGTCAAATAAAAAGATTTTGCACAATGAGGGAAATTCAATAAAATGAAAAGAAGATCGACTGAACGGAAGAATTCGCCCATGACACATCCGATATGGGGTTCGCAGCCTAAACATACGAGGAACTTATACGACTCATTACCAAAAAAACAAACAATCTGGTTAAAAAATGGGCAGAGCACCTGAAGAGACATTTCTCCAAAGAGGAGAAATCCATATAGATGGCCAAGAGACATGCAAAAAGAGGCTCGATATCCCTAATCACCAGGGAAATGCAAATTAAAACCACTATGAGATGTCAGAACGGCCATCATCAATAAATCAACGAACAAGTGTTAGCCAAGACGTGGAGGGAAAAAAGGGAACCCTTGTGCCCTATTTATGGGATCGTAAATCGGTGCAGCCACTATGGAAAACAGTATGAAGGGGCCTCAAAACATTAAAAAGGGAACGACCTCATGACCCAGCAATTGCACTTCTGGGTACTCATCCAAAGAAAACAACAACACTAATTTGAAAATATATGTGCACCCCTATGTTCACTGCAGCATTATTCACAATAGCCAAGAAGATATGAAAGAAACCTCAGTGCCCACCTATGGACTGGATAAAGAAGAGGTGGTACATGTAGACAGCGGAATACTAATCGGCCATAAGAAATGAAATCTTACAATTTGCAATGACATGGATGGACCTAGAGTAATGGTGCTGAGTGGAGTCAGTCAGACAGAGAAAGACAAATGCCATATGATTTCACTGACATGTGGAACCTAAAGAACAAGATAAACCAACAAAGCAAACACACTCACAGACACAGAAAACAAATTGATGGCTGCCATGTGGCAGGGAGGCGGGGGTGTGAGTGAAAAGGGGGAAGGGATTGAGGAGTGCAAACTGCCAGTTGTAAAGACAGTCCTGGGACCTCGAGTACAGCACCAGGAACATCACGCACTGGAGTAACTGCGGATGGCGACGGGGGTACCAGACTTGTCGGGGGATCACGACGCAAGGTACATGAATCTGTGTTCACTGAGCTGCACACCCGGAGCTACTCTGATAGCACACGTTAACTGCAACTGAAAAGAACTTTCTGATTAGTTTAGGAAGCACAGCACAATCATCGATACGCATAATGATAAGCTGAGCTATCGACAAAAAGGCTGAAGTATACAGCAAAATCTGCTGAAAGGAAACAAGGGGTAAAATCATAGATTCTCAGTGTTTTGATCAAAAAGGTCTGACTTGTTTAGTGGCAGTTTCCGTTTGAAAAATTCACATCTTTGGAACGTCCCATTTCCCATGATCCTGAGAAGAAAGTGTGACAGCCAGTGCCCGAGGATCTGACCCTACGAGCACCTGTTTCCGAATCATCATACTTCCTGCTGGTGTGGGGGGGCATTTACTGCCAGGATCCTCGCCTTCCGTCTGAAAGGCTTTTGCTAGGCACCTGTGGCCCCAGGCCCGTCCGCTCACTTTCTTCTTACCCCAGGAAGTAGATGACTCCGTTGGCTGGGGGTGTAATATAGGTCTGCCACAGACAGGGGCGCTCTGCTCTGCTCCTCTGCACCCTAAGTCTGAGGGGTGCCCCCTGGGGCAGAGTGGCACACCTGGGGACGGTGCGGGCAGCTGTGCCTCCCACGGCTCTGCCAGCAGCGAGACTGGCGGTTCCCTCTTGTCTGCCCACATCAGCTAGCATTTATGTGGGGAAAGGGGTGCTATTTACTGCCTCCAACCCTAATACTGTACTTATGCTTCCGATTTTCAAATTCTGATTTTCTTTTCATCAAACTGATAGAGCCATTATCTGTCATAAGAAAACAAAACAAAACAAAACGCGAGAGCACATGTCAGCTATTCGCCCATCCTGGATCTCGGAACAAGAACGGAAAACGGCCGCAAAGTGAACCCTCGCCCTCAGTCCCGGGCTGGCGATCACGGCGTCGGGCCCAGGAAATGCGCTGGCTCTCTGAAGAGCCTGGCTTGCTAATGGGAGGGGACGTCTCAGCGAGCAGGCGCTCCCTCCCCTAGATCTCTGTCACCTAGCACCTTATGCAGTTTAGCAAAAGGGCGAGGGCCTCGAATACAGATGTTTGTGCTGCTTGAAAAGCTTAACAGCTTGAAACATGGGTTGGTGGAAGGTGCCATCGGCCTCAGGGCACAGGAACCCAGGAGAAGACCCTGCACTGACTGGCACTCACTGCAGGAGGTTCCTGGGGTCACTGGAGGGGCCGGGGCAAAAGGATGCCTCCCCGCGGCCACGCGGGCTCCTCACCCTGAGGCCTCGTCCCAGTAGTAGTGGCTCCGGCCTGGAAAGCTCTGGTCTACTTTGTCCATCTGCAGCGTCCTCACGAACGTGCCCGTCTTGGACGTCTGCTTCAGCAGGCGGTTGTGGACATCCGAGAGGATGGAGAAGCTCGTGCCTCGCGGGTAGCACAGCCCCACTCGGATCCAGTCACCCCTGCAAGGGAAGCAGTGTCAGGTCACCAGCAGGGGCCCCGGCCACCCAGGCTCCAGGCAGGAGCCGGAAAGAGCCCAGAGAACGCTGCGCTGGTGGCGCCCCCCCTTTGTGAGGGAGACTTTGGAAGGACACTTGCTGTTGGTAACGGCCGAGTGGCGAAGTGTTCAAGGGGAGAGGAGGACCGTCGCAATGGACGGTGGGCGTCTCCAGGGCCTGCAGCGGGGAGCCCCACAGGGGGCTGTGGCTGGAAGGAGACGTTCTTTCCGCTGGACGGGAGTGGAAGAGCCCAGGTATGGAGGACCGGGCCCCACCCCTTCCTGCGCCAGCCTGGCGGAGGGCCCACGTCACGTATGTGGGTCTCACTTCCCGCATCTGATAAATCTCCGCCTCACAGGAACACGGCGACAAGCAAACGACGTGCACAGGAGACCCCGATCATAGTACGCGGAGCCCCGTGCCGGCGCCCTCGGCCCGATCCCCGGGCTGTGCACGGCCCCTCCCCTCGGCGTAAAGTGCTGACGTGGTCGCCAGGTACTTTTTCCCATGAAGGCCCGGTCCCGGGCGACATGCTTGTCACACGTGAGCTCACTGTATCCTCGCTGCACCCCTGAGAGGTGTTACTGTCCCCATCTCCCACGTGAAGGGACTGAGAGGATCCAAAAATCAGATGCCCTGCCTGAGGCCACCATACCCCAAGCAGGGGCTCGGCCGGGTCTTCCGATTCTGAGCTGCTGCGTGATGTCATCCCCCCTAGAGGTGTCCTCCCACAGGGAGGCCAGGGGCCAGCCTGACGTCCTGTGAGAGGCCACCTGGGACTCTGCTGTGAGGTAGCATCGTTGTCACGGCTGCCCTGAGCTCCAGTGGGGAACCCACTCACTTATTGAAGTTGATGAGCCAGATGGCGAGCTCGGCGGGGGCTGTCTGGTCCCAGTGGATGGTGTAGCCCTTGTGCAGCGTGACGACCGGCTGGTACTGCTGGTAGTGGGTGCTCCTGGTCAGGGCGCCCTCCAGGGAGAGAGGGTGGCTGGGAGAGTCATTCTTGATGATCTTCATCCGCAGGTTACTGGTCTTGTAGGCCTGAATGTACATCTTTTAAAACCCAAAAAGGAAACACAATGGAGCAATGACAAAGGGTCATCCTGAGCGCGTCTGTTAACATCTGAGCACAGACTCCCCTTTCGGAGGCACCGTCGCCTGACGGAGCCCTTGTTAGAAGGCACGAAGGAGAGCAAGGCCCAATCAGGGGCCCGTCTGTGCCGGTGGTCCCTGCGGCCACCTCCTCTCCCAGGGCTGACAAATCCCAGCGCGCTGTCTGCGGTCCCCACCGGGCCTCCGTGTCCGCGCCTCGTCAGCATCCCCACCGCCGGCAGCCCTCCCAGCCTCGCTGCCCTCCACGGCCCAGTCTCTGCCCTCAGCACGTGACCTCGCCTCCTCCTGCAGAGAGAATCGCCCTGGGCTTCCTGCCCCCGGCCGGGCCCTGTCTCCCTCCGTGCCCTCCTGCT